AAAAGATTATCATGAAAATACCAACAGAAGAGGCCTGGAAAGCTCAAATGTGTCTTCTGCGAGAAATAGGGGAGGAAGGGAAGATCCCCCCCCCGAAGTAGAAGACGCTGTGGTACCCTGGGTATGGGCGGGAGAAAAGCCAGGGAGAGCAAAGCTGGCCACCCCTGTCAAAGTTGACCTGAAATCCGGTGTTAATCCACCTAGGGTGCCACAGTATCGATTAAAATTGGAAGCTTGGAAAGGTTTGGAACCGCTTATAAAGCGATTCCTTGAACATGGCTTGCTCCGGGAGTGCCAATCGTCCTTTAATACCCCCATTTTGCCTGTTCAGAAGCCCCACAGTAACGAGTAGGAAGGGTGTGGGAAGTGGGGTCCCACAGGGTTTGGTCCTTGGACCGATACTCTTTAATGTCTTCATCAGTGACTTGGACGAGGGAGTGAAGTGTACTCTGTCCAAGTTTGCGGATGACACAAAGCTGTGGGGAGAAGTGGACACGCCGGAGGGCAGGGAACAGCTGCAAGCAGACCTGGACAGGTTGGACAAGTGGGCAGAAAACAACAGAATGCAGTTCAACAAGGAGAAATGCAAAGTGCTGCACCTAGGGAGGAAAAATGTCCAGCACACCTACAGCCTAGGGAATGACCTGCTGGGTGGCACGGAAGTGGAAAGGGATCTTGGAGTCCTAGTGGACTCTAAGATGAACATGAGTCGGCAGTGTGACAACGCCATCAGAAAAGCCAATGGCACTTTATCGTGCATCAGCAGATGCATGACGAATGGGTCCAAGGAGGTGATACTTCCCCTCTATCGGGCGCTGGTCAGACCGCAGTTGGAGTACTGCGTGCAATTCTGGGCGCCGCACTTCAAGAGGGATGCGGATAACCTGGAGAAGGTCCAGAGAAGGACCACTCGTATGGTTAAGGGCCTGCAGACTAAGCCCTATGAGGAGAAACTAGAGAACCTGGACCTTTTCAGCCTCCGCAAGAGAAGGTTGAGAGGCGACCTTGTGGCTGCCTATAAGTTCATCCCGGGGGCACAGAAGGGAATTGGGGAGGTTTTATTCACCAAGGCGCCCCCGGGGGTTACAAGAAATAATGGCCACAAGCTAGCAGAGAGCAGATTTAGACTGGACATTAGGAAGAACTTCTTCACAGTTCGAGTGGCCAAGGTCTGGAACGGGCTCCCAAGGGAGGTGGTGCTCTCCCCTACCCTGGGGGTCTTCAAGAGGAGGTTAGATATGCATCTAGCTGGGGTCATCTAGACCCAGCCCTCTTTCCTGCCTATGCAGGGGGTCGGACTCGATGATCTATTGAGGTCCCTTCCGACCGTAACATCTATAAATATACCAGCATTAATGACATGCATCTATCTACAACCTGATTGGAAATATGTTATTGAAAGGGCCTGAACATGAAGACCCACTTCCTCAGCTAATTGAGGACTTTATAATAAATACTTAACAGTTGTTTAGCTAGGATGGCCTCAGATGTCATCAGTTAGGCTTGGACTCTTGACAAGGAGAGCTAGTCCTTATACTAATAGGTTTCAGTTGCTTGGCTTGCGTTAGGATGGTCACACACTTAAGGCAGTGCTTTCTTGTTTCCATCAGCAAAGCCACTGCATCTGGCCTTGCGAGCCTCTCTGCAACACTATCCAAAGTTTGTTCCAACCTTTATGTCTGGAGAGTGTCTATAAGATTGGAGGCACTTATGCTAAAGCTTCTAATGTGTTACCTGCATGAACTAGGACCAAGTAGAGTGGCACTAACACCGCCCATGTCTCAGACCTAATAGTTGTATTGAAGAAGCCCAGAACTGCTTTTCTTTCTGCACCTGGATCACACTGCAGACTCATACTGAGTGTCTGATCCACCAAAACCCCCAGACCGTGCTGCCCCTGGCCAGTTATTTCCCTTTAGGTATCTGTGCTTTTGATTATTCTTCCCCAGGTGCAGCACCTGCATTTGTCATCCTTGAGCTCATTTCTCCAGTTTGCTCCGCTTCAGGCTGCCGATGCAACTTGCTGCAGCCTCAGTCGTGGGCCCAGTGCTCCATCTGATTCTCCTGACTGGGCTGTGGCTCTTCCCAACTCTGACCTCAGACTTCCCCTGGAACGAGGCACCAGAGCGCTGACCCCTGGTTTCTGATCTCAGCCCGCTTCCCAGATTGCGCTTCTTGGATTTCTCCTCTCGGCGCTGCAGGGCTTGATCCCCATGCCCCGTCCTCAGCCCTCCGGCCCAGACCTCAGCCTGACGTGCTGGTAATCTGTGCTCTCACCTTGCAGACCCCCTAGCTGCTCCTCGGGGCTGCTCCAGGTCCCAGCTGAACCCTTGCAGGGTCTTTGTCAAAAGCCTTTCTGAAGTCCAAGTCCACGATGCCTGCTCCACTCCCTTAATCCCCCAACACAGTTACTTTGTGCATCCAGGAGATCAAGTTGATTTGGCACCATCTATTCCTAGCAAATCTGCTGCCTGCTCATGCTCACCCTTTCCTCCTCCAGACAGACATCTTGGACATCTTCATCGTCTGCTCCAGGAACTTCCCCAGTGCTGAAATCAAGCTAAACAGGGCCTCTTTTTTCCCTTTCCTAAAGAGGCATTACGTTGGCCTGTTTCCAGTCCTCAACAACCTCACTCATCTCGCATCGCTTCATGAATGTTATTGCCAAAGGCTCCAAGATGCCCTCTGCCGGGTCCCTCCGTACCGCCGGGTGAAATTCATCCGGCTCGGCTGACTTGAATTCATTCAAGTGCATCAAAAGCTCCATGACATTCTCTCGTTATCGTGGCCTCCAGCCTTTCCCTTCCCTATCTGTACCCTTGTAATTGCTGTCTGGTTGAAGCTTTGTTGCATGGTGAAGTCTGAAGCACACAAGTCTGTAGCACAGTTGGTCTTTCTTTCCTGACCAACCCATTTCTAAAACTCCTTCCTGTTGTCCTCACCTTCCCTCGCCAGTGTTAACCTTTGCTTTTTTACCTTTATTTCCCCGGTTTTTGCCCCTGCAAGCTCCTGCTGTTTCCTGGTCTGCTTCTTTGGTGACTCGTCCACTCTTCCCTTGCCTGGATGCTTTTTCCTTTTGCTTTTGAGGCATCCTAGAAACTCCTTGGGCAGCACATCAGTCTCCTGCCATTCTCCTTGTGTTTTTAATTTTATCAGATTAGCTTGCCTTTGAACTTCCAATACATACATTATTTTAAATTTGTTTAATAATATTAATAATATCCATTAATAACCACGTCTGCCCTAACAGTGAGAAAGCAAAAACTTATACTTGGGTTTAGATTTTAAAGGCTTTGTTTATTAACCTGCAGAATATTGTATGGATTGTGAGGATGCGCCAACTGTCATGGCTGAAGTCATTATTCAGGGATGCGGCGCCTCTACCAATGCTAATTTGACAAAGAAAACGCGTTGTAACATAGGTAGACCAACAAAACCAGTGTTTGTTATTAGAAACTAACAGGTAAAAAAAATGAACTTACAAACCATGTCACAGCATGAATGATGTTGTCCCAGCCGCCTGCGGAGGGTTCTGGATGGAGAGTATGGTCGGGGGTAGAAAGGTAAGAAAGATTTATTGACGTAACAAAAACACAACTACGCGTAGTAACAAGACAAACAATGACAGACAAAAGCAATTTGCGTCGGCAACTTATTGGCAGTCCCCTCTGATGCCTGATACACAGCAAGCTTCTCTTTCTACACAGTTCAGCAAAGTCAGGCGTCCCTAAACAACACTGTCCAAAGGGGTACCGGAAAGGACCCTGGAATGCAGTTCTTGGGCTCCTCGAGGTCCACGGGCCTGCTGATCCAGGCAACAGCTAACTAATCCTTTCACAAAGCTGTCTCTTCCTTCTGAATGGTTTCCAGATATTCCAGCTCAGTAAAAGCTTCTGAATGATACTGATAACGAACGACCACTCAGATCCCTTTTACTTCAACTGTCCTTAGACTGACCAATTACAGCACAGTACAAGCCTTGCATTCCTTTGATAAGGTAATTTTAACTACGTCACAGGGCCTTACTACTTCAAGGCTTTGCTAAATTTACTAGGCCTTACTTTCTACAAGGCCTAGTAAATCTACATCTTAATCTTTAATTAGGCTTTTAGCAACAACATACAGCTTAATATCTAAACAAATATAGAAAAACACTTTGTCTAATCTTCATAGGCCGTCAGCAAGCACCTTTATCACACAAACATAATTTCAGCTGTCACACTCCACCCCTTGCTTGCTGAAGCACTATGATAGCTACAATTAAAATGCTAAAGCCATATGCGCTACATCGGGAAATGGGGATGGATTTATAAATTTAACTTGCATAGCATAAACAGATTTACAATAACAATTAAAACACCATTTAGCTGTTGCCACTAGGGCAATGCAGAATACTATGATGCCCAAGATGGTTAGCCACCTAGTTGAGGTGGCACTTGGTGACACACGAATAGTACAGATTACATCATACCATTTACAAGGCTCGAGCACGTTGATAGCTAGACTGATGATTTGCCCACCCTCTCGAGCAAGGAGAGCCAACTGAGTGCCTTGCCGAGCCTTTGCCTCAAGGCTTTGCAGCTTTTTTTTTTTTTACTTCATTCCAGTTTTTTAACTGTGGCATGTTTACATCTGATACCCATGAAGTGGGTATCGTAAAGTTGAGAGGTATAGTTTCAGAGGAAATTATTGGCTATTTTAGGGCAATAGTACGGTTACTTAATTGCAGTAGAGCAACGGCTCCACTTTTAGCTCTTAAGTAACATGAATTGCATAAAGTTCAGGTGATACCATTCCACCACGCCTCTGTGTAGGTATGATTCACAAACCATGTAATAACTTTGTTTCAACCTGTAATGTGCTCTCCTACCTGGTGGGTCTCACACTATTGCTGGAGAGTGTTGTCAGCCATAGGGATGGGAGGGGGCAGATTCTCCCATAAACGCAGTGGCTCGAGAGGCTGAACAGATGCAGAATGCACTATTGGGGACACAAACTCAGGGACGTTGAGCTCAACAGGGTTTCCCTCAGGAAGTATGTAACAACAAACTCCCACACGAGCAGAGCTACAACAATCACCTCCTCTCCCACAGTTAGCCAAGGGAGGGAATGAACCCAAGATAATAACCGGTGCCACAGGTGCACTGACAGTTACTACCTTGCCAGTCAACTATTCTGTTTTTTCCACTCAGAGACCAGGACTTCACTTGCTCCGGGGTGGTGGGTTTCTTCCAGTATGGATACTGCAGCTGGACCACATGAAGGCCATCTGAACGCGTTTCCGGGGAATGCTCTTCAGGGTCAGGCCACTCTCTGAGGTCTTCAGGAGCAAGTTCATTAATATCTGGGTAATAAGAAGGATAGTAGACATGCCCTACCCAGGAAACACAATAAGGCATTAATAAAAAGAGTACATTCATAACAGTCCACCACTTCATAATGCCAGTTAATTCAGACCGGCGACAGAGCAGAACTCGTCTTCAGTGGCAGGCTCAATTCAAAATGGTTATGGCTGCACTTGTGGACAGATCCAACCTGTAGGAACAAGACAACAAGGAGCTTGGCTCCTGTTAGATAAATTTGACTTAAATACCCACTATGTATTATGCATACCTTTTGCTAATAGAGTCCCTTTTCATTTATCTCCTTGAGGATGCTTCATTACTCCCCGATCTTCTGCCTGGAGCTTTCCCAGATCACCACCCCTATGTCGCTCTACTGCCAGCTCCCGGGGACCACCCAATCCAAAGGCCTGCTGCATAGGGCTACCTCCCAGACAGGGTCGGTTATTGGCCCTATAGATAGCTTGATTCAGGTGCAAGTCCCAGTCTTTAAGAGCCGGGCCAGCTGCTACCCACAAATTGCATTTGAGGATGCCATTGGCTCATTCTACTAGTCCGTTAGACTGCAGATAGTATGGGCTGTGATATGTCCATAACATGCTATGTTTTGTGGTCCAGTCATACACAAGATGGTTGCGAAAGTGAGGGCCATTATCATTCTGTAGTTCTATAGGTGGTGGATACACAGCTAGCAGAGTTTCCAGTGCTGCACAAGTGTCCTGGGCGGTGGCTTTCACTGAGGCGCAGGCGAACATTATTCTTGTGGCAACTTCTACAGCTACAAACACGTAGCGTCACAACATGTCCTTGATACTAATGGATTCGATCCATGCAGGCTTATAACTCTGGATGCTTTCTGTCAAGGCTGGTAGTGATGGGATGGCAGCTATCAAGGGGTCAGTATTAGCATTCAAAGCTCGAAAGTCAATAGTCAACCACCACCCTCCATTTGGCTTGAGCACTGGCCACACTGGATTGTTATGCAGAGAGTGGGTTCAAATAGTAGTCTCATCTTTTAACTGCTGGCTGATAATACACTGTATAGGTTGTGTGGCCTCGGGGGGAGTTCGATACTGGGGTCTGTGTACTCCTTTCATGGGAGGCAGGGTTAGTGGGATCATTTACATCAAGTTACAGCTGTTATAGCCATTTCTTCTGGTTCTTGGTGAGGCACTGCGCACCCAAACTGCCGATTCTCTTGTTCAAGGGCAAACTGCTGTCCTCTTAGTACATTAAGTCCCAGTAAGCTTGGTCCCCCTTTAAGTATTACTGTGGCCACTGTTACCTTAGAGCTATTAGGTAACGCGAAGGTTGCTCAGACTAGATGTCTTGGTCGTCTGGTGCCTCCAACTCTAATTACTTGATAAGGGGTTCCTTTCTCCCCATTCCAATCTGCAGAATCTAAAATGCAAATCTGGGCACCCGTGTTTAATAGCATATTAATTGACTTTTCACTTTTACTTAATTGAATCTGTACAGGTATCCGAATTAAGGGGCTAATATTAACTTCAGATACTGGTCCTCGGCCTGCTACTACCCCCATTGTGGCTCTTTTCTTTGGGGGTTGGGCTGGCTGGACTCCCTAGGCCATGTGATCAGGCGGGGTAAAGGCTGGTGGCCCCGCATGTGCCTGGGAAAATGTTGAAAATTCTGCTTTCAGGGCAGAGAATCTCTCCGGTGACACTGTTGGTGGTGCAGAAGGCTCTGCTTTTGGTCTTGCCCTTTTGGTACAGTGTTTAGCCCTCAGCCCTTGCAAGGCATTGATGGGCAGTCTAGTGATTTGCACTTCATTGTAACAGGCAGCTAACAAGTCTTTCCATATTTTTGCTTGAGGAGTCTTGGGCCGGCCTTTCCCAGCTTTTCTCAACAATTCGGGGGAGTCAGGGGGTTTATCTTTCACTGAGGCCACTGCCATGGCCTTGGCAGTTTTCGTCAGCTTGGTAAGCCTTGGCTTCTGCAAAATGGGTAGAAGCTGCACTAATTGCTGGATCGCATCTCTTACCGGGTGATTTACCGCCTCTGGCTCCAAGGCCAACAAGGCCAAGGTGCATTCTGTTGGTGGTTGCTGGCAAAACCTCCTCCACAGCAGTGCTGTCACGACTTCTGCATCTGGCGTGTGAGTCCAAACCGCTGTACAAATGATTTCAGTTAATGATAATAGATACAAGCAGTGGACAGCCTCTTCTAAATTGGCCTATGCCCAAAAGGCAGGGTTAAGCTCTTCTTCTCTATTACCATAACTGGCTGCAGTGGCTCAGAGCGCAGCAGAAAACAAAGTAACGTTTTCATCACTTCTTGCAAACTGATTTAACTGGAGCTCAGGGCACAGAACCATTTGGGCTGCTTCGGCTCTATTCACTGAAATTGCAAATGCCCCTTCACTATACATTTGAACTAGCCAGTCTATTACTGGTTCTCCTGGCTTGAATTCATGCTGCTTTTGAATATTTTTAATCTTTGCATAGGTAAAGGAATGCAGCTCTGTTCGGGGATTCTCTCCTTGCGGGCTTGAATTAGTTATCACCATGGGAAAAACTTGGCTGAGTTTCTCCCTCAGGGCAGGGAAGGCCTGGCTAGGTTCCTCCCTCTGGGCAGGAACATACGGGGGTGTTTCAGCACCAGGCTCGTCATAAATCTCCTCCTCTCCATCAGTCTCTTCCCTTTGATCTTCCCAGAGCTTAACTTTTGGTTTATCTCTATACAGACACTTGTGGGAGGATTCCTTCATAGCCTGTGCTAAATGCACTTTCTTCTGGAGGGGAGCGGCCACGCGTAGGACCATAATTTTTCCTTTCTTCTGTTTTAATGTTTCCAAGCAGCT